TGTATCGGCTTGAGTTATTGGGCTAGCATCCATGTTTTTATAGATTTTACCAGAAAGTAGTATTGATAGCCTATGCGCATGTTAGTGTGACTAGTTCGCCTTTAGCGAGATGTGCATCGCCGGCAAGGCAAATTACAAAGCCCTCTTTATTTTTGTTGATTTTAAAAGTTTACATCGTTCTGTAGTCAGCAAAAGATTTGTGGGCAAAACACTGCAGTTGCACAGTGGGGTGAGATGGGTTCTTACAAATTTCTTCCATCGTCAAATTTTTCGACTTGCTTGTGACAGCTTCTAGTAGTAGTACCTCATAAGCAGTTTATCAACAAATTGAAGGTTTTGGAATGTTGACATTTGGCACTGGTTTGCCATTCAGCTTGAATTTTGATAGGTTTGATATGACGATGAAAAGATCTCGCCGGTGATCACCGTGGAAAATGGAGTATTATAAGCGACCAACTCCTAATTCATTTTTTTCAGATAATTTTGAGAGAAAATATTCAAGAAGCCAGTATTCGTGTCTTACCGATTGCATTCATGTAATTTTATTTGAAGTTTTCAAATAATTAAAGAAATGATATATCTGTGATATTTCCAATATAACGTCTTGTCTTATCTTCATCGCGATGTATCTGATGGTCATCGCTGCGATTTTGTTTCTCCTTTTTTAGTTTGAATTTTTATCAAAATCTGCGGTGTTTGATACCACTGATTGAAATGCTTTAACTTGGATGTTTGAGAAATTACCTTACACTTTTCGTTAACATAAATTTAGCCAACTTCAATCCTTCTTCAGAGATTCTCAAATAAGGGCTTGGTCCACCAATTAGTTGTCCCTCCTCGGATAAATCAATTTATTTGAATTAAACACATTTATGTGCTCAAGTAGTACTTTTAAATTAAAACAAAAACCCACTTTGTTAAATTCTGCTTCTCTGCCAGTTATCATACGGTAGAGAAGCAGTCCAACGTGGAAGACGTCCTCAACTTTGGCTTTTGCACTAAAAGAGCTTTGAGTATTTGTTGTTTTTGTTTTTCTATTGCATGTTTGCATTATACCCATGGGTTGAGTGCCTTGCTCGGTAAGCAGTGGTGGTTATGATGGTTTTCGCATTGAGATGGGAATCAACGACGATTGAGTTGAAGTCGAGCCCACCATGAATGATCTCTCGGCTGTGGAGAAACATAATAGCAGAGCTGATGCCTAAGTAGGCATCGGTCTGGCTGAATACATTGAAAGTTTAGTAATCAATACTTTTAAGAATACTAGCAGCTATGTGCTCTTCCAAAGGAAAAGGTCCATGTTTGTGTAGGAGCTCTGCAAGGGTAATTCCTTCAAGTACGTCGCCTTTGTTCTGAAAACAGTGTTTTAGCAATGCGAACTAATCTAGACATCTAAACGCACCTGGAGGAAGATGAGGTCTGG